ACGCTGGACTTTTAATTAAATTAAAATAGACGGGATACATTTTTAATAGCGGCAAAAAAGTACATGTGCTCATTACACCCACTCAGGCGGCACATCTCCTCTTCGTCACTTTGATCAATAGTCTGAGCCTCCAAATTTAGGTTTCGCTAAATCTAGTCCTCCTGACACGAGAGGTCATTGATCACCACTGTTAGCCTATTCTCAGGATCCACCATGATCATTCTTCAGAGGGTGAGTACATTAAACTAGAATAGAACATGTGGCTCGTGACACAATTTCTGCAAAAGTGAATAAATTATTAAAAAACATATTCATAATAATCACATGAATAAATCAAGACACTCTCAGATGAGGAAAAACTTCCTGAAATATCCGCGTCTCATAGCTGATCTATGGCCCCTCAACCGTGCGAAGACAGCCTCTGTATCACATATGGCACTTGGCCCCATGTCCTTCCAATCAATAAATCACTGAATGAACTGACACAATTATTTGGTTAATATCAAAGAGCAGAGAAAGAAAGGGTCCAGTCGGTAGCTAAATTCAACTCGCGAGTGAGGATATGAACTAGAATTAGAGGCTAAAGTTGGACATAAATAGTATGTTTTGTTATTAATGATAACTCACCTGTTGATTAACATCATCACACTAACTATGAAATACTTGAAAAGCGTATGCGACAGTAAAACACTATTTGCACAAGCCAGTACAGTAACGTTTTCTTTCTTACGACCAGTAATAAAATGGTATTTTCCGTACAAAACTGTCAACAAGTAACATATAACACGTACACATACTGTAGATAAACATTTTCTATTAAACTTCAACACCATCATGTGCATCTTTTGTCTTTCTGACTGACAAAAAGCAGCCAGGCTCTGGCATCGTCGAGATGTTTAACATTTGTGTTAATCTGAGACCTGTTGGATCCCAGATGGCGCAGTGATGGCCAAGCTGCAGCATGCTGCTTATATTATGCAATGTTGAGTAGCTTATACTTGCCCAACTAATTACACAGCCAATTAAAAAGACATTACAAGGAGTATATGTGATTTCTTTACAAAGGAGGCCGTCCTTTTTTTTTAAATGATTGAGGGTCTAGATGTTAAATAAATGATGCTGCCTTCAAGTGCTTCTTCTAAGTTCACATTGAAGTACAATGTGTGATGTGTTCAAGCGCTCCTGGCAATAGATAAAATGAAACAGACACAAACCAAATCAGTCCTTTTTTTTTCCAGTTTGTGTTTCAGAAATGGTGAACGAAAATAGTAAAAACTGTTTATGATAGCTGATGTAGTTGATGTTGTGCAGCATTAATATTCACTGTGCTTGACTTGTTGGCATTTTGTGTGAGTGTGTGTGTGTCTCTGTGTGCATGAGAAACACAACAGCAAAAGTACCACTCAGCTATTCCAACTTTCTGACTCGTAATTACCACCGTTCGATCATGAGCACTCATCTCATAATTACAATATTTCAGACGGCACTTTAAAGCACCATGAGAGTGACTCTCCATCTGAATCCTCCAATCACCCCCCCCTCCCTCCCCAGCCCCCCAACCCAC